TAGCAGGTAAAGAGAAGGCAGACTGAATTCAGATACACAAGCTAACACTTGTGCTACACCTCTCTACACAAGCTCTGAAGAATTCAACATACCTGGAGTTAATCTGCCATTAATTTAAACAGGTTGCTGCCTTTATTACTAAGAGTACCAAGGGGTTTAACTCTGTGACATTTACAGAACAGCTGATATTTTAGGGGTCAGCCATGCTACAAGGTACTGCATTCCTGAACTTCATCAACCTCTCTCTCTTAGACTTATGAGCCATTCAGATCAAACCCTTGTTTCACAGCAGTCTTCCCACTTTACACTGCAACTCTGAGAGCTAGGAAGCAACCCTGTATGTGGTGGTGAACCTTTGAGCAGGAGGGGTCCTATGACTAGAAGAGATTTAATTACTTCTGACAACTTCCTCCTTTTAATTATTCCCACAAATTTTCAGTCTAATATTTTAAGAATGCATTTTCAAGATTAAATACAAAACCTCCTGAAAGTTCAATGAAAATTGATTTGTACATCATAGCTTTGCCAAGAAGTAATGCTGTAACTTAAAGGTCTGTCAGCTTTTCCTGAATTAGTTAAGTCTCTCAGATTTACAGTGACAGCTGACTTAAATCACCTATCCAGAGTGTACTTGATAAAGCTTCCTCCAGGCTGCAGAAAGTCACATTATCAGAGTACCATGACTTCTTTGTAAGCCTCCTCACATTTACTTACAGATCTTCTTCAAATCCCAGCTGTTGAATCTGAGATTTGATTTTCTGTCCTGATGTCTTTAGTATGATATTCTCAAGGAGATGAAAATCATCCTGATTGAACATCTCACCATCCTCTAATGGGCCAATAATCTACAAAAAAAAAAGCAGAATCAGCATTATTAGCTAAAGGCTACATGGAAACAAAATTCAAAGATGTATTAAATAAATACTCCAGCCCTGTATTGGTGGGTATTAACTGTTTAGGCTGGTATTAATGTCAATGGCAGCAGAGTTTAACAAACAAATGTAACTGTTTAGAGCCAAGAATCCCAGACTAAGGCATAAAATGCACACTTAAAACTTTCACTGAGTGCTTGGTTTGCAAAATTTGGACATATTAAATTATACATCTTGAAGGGGCAATAGAACACCAGGCCAATTCCAGCAGTCCTGCAAGACTCCAGCAAATCTAACTCCTCTAGCCTTCAGAACCTAAAAGCTACCTAGACAATTCTTGCTATTGTACTGATGAGAGAAAAAAGAATACCATAACTCATCACTTGAATTTTTTTAACCCATTGAATTATACAATAACCACTGGAACTTAGGGTTTTTTCCCCCTAACTAGGAAGCAGAATACAAAATAAAACTTAATGCTGTACACAGCTGGGTTTCATTACTTGCAGTGAAATACTATTGTAACATCATTTGCTTAATCTAAAGCAAATCTGAAGCAAAATCTATCGTAAAAGGAGCCAGTGGAAGAGACGAGGGCACCTTGGTCAGGGCCAGACAGAGCAGTGGTTTTGCCCAATGAACTGAAGCAGCACAGTCTTTGAAATTTATCATCCCTTTCCATCCCTGGACTCAATTTACTTCCAACATGAACACAACTCTGTTATTAAGAGATCTGAAGTTATACAAAACACCAACAATAGCTGCACACAGTACAAAGAACAGGTGACGCAGGTCTGAATAAATCAAACTAGAAGCAGTCCTGAAGACTGATGAGACCTACAGAAGGCCGAGACACTAGATGTCTGATCCCTAGACCCTGTGGGTCAAGGTCTGCTTCTTTCCCACATGTGCAGTATCTCTTTTACTCTCTGGTGATTGAGCTCACCCTTCCATTGCTGATCACAGCCCTCTGCCCCTTCTTCAGCTTTAGTACATCTCTGCAGTATATAGCATGGGACAGAATAAAATCCACCTTGGGAGATTCAAAGGCTTCTTTGAAAATATTGGTATCCATACCCTGAAAGAAAAGAATACTTGACATTGAAACGGGAAGAAAGGTACAACTTTGCACACTTTGTTTAAATGCACCATTTTTGTTCCCATTCACAAACATCTTTATATCTTGCTAAAATATATCCCTAGTTCCTTTCCTTTGGGGTCTTAGACCTTATTCTTGCCTGTCACCTTCAAACACTATCCCAACTTATGATGTGAAGGGCCACAGCCCTAGTAATTGTTGCTACTCAGACCAGTTGTTCCATTCTTCTGTTCTTAAGCGATTCTTGCCTCTTTTTAAACCTACTTTGAGAAATACAAAGTTTTTTCTCAGCTTTTTAAAAGTATTATAGTTTTCTCTTAAACACCCTTCCCCAAGAAACAAACGACTCACTTCAATAGATCCCTGAACCTGCATTCCTGTTCACTTTTCAAAGTTGCGTAGTTTTCATGTTTATGAGGATTTTTAGATGGACTGTTTTGTTTAGGTAAGTTTACCTTTCAGAACAAAAAAAAGAACAGCAGCAGCAAACCCAACAGTGTTACTCTCCACTGTTGCTGCATCTTTTGCATATGAACATACTACACTAAAAAATTAATTAGAACAAGCAAAGTACTGTACCTTTGTAACTGCCAACAAACATGCTTACCCCAACAGCAAATTCTAAGATGTCAGCTCCTGCCTCTAGTGCCTTTGCAGTTTCTTCTTTGGCCATTTTGGTGATGAAGTTCTTGGCATTATTTGATGTTTGTGTCTGTAGAGCTGCCCATATTGCTTTAGCGACAACTGTATTCTGGCTATTTGGATCAGTACTAGGATTATTAATCATGCCAATTCGAACATTATTGCTGGTTTTCTGTGTTTAACAAAACGTGCATTAGGAGAGGTTTAGATTTCAGATGTAGTTTAAATGAGAAACCTACTACAATAAACACTATAGCAAAAGCTCTGTATATCTTAATGAGAAAATAAGATTCCAAATTAGGTAAATAACAGCACAAGGTTAAAAGGACGAGTGAACTACCTTAACATCAAGTATTTAATTTACATGTAGACACCACTCATCTTCTGTAGATAATAGTGTTACACAGGAGATCAAGGACCATGGCCACTGCTAAGAGGTCTGGCAAAACAGTGATTCAGGAGTGCTCTCTATTTTTATGAATCAGTTACCTATCCAGAACAAACGAGACAGGGAACAATGCTCATGTTCATCTCCAAACCAAAACACAGACCTCTTCAATTTTGAACTATGGGCTTAAAAGAACAACTTTTCTTGGTTGCACCATCATAGTGCCAAGAGAGGATTTTCATCCTAGTACAAGAAGGTCAGAGGCATCCCAGCCTCTACAAATAAAATGAGGCTGCAATTTAGAAACCCATCTCTCCAGGGCATGCTTCAGGAAGAAGCACAGCCTGTGTTTTTCAAGCCTCTACCTACTGCTTTATTAGCACCGCTAACCTGTTCAAATGAAAACATCACCTACCTGATGTTTAATTGCATCATACAGCAGTTGCCTCCCTGAAGGTTTATCAAAATCACCAACAATCCAAAAAGTAACTGGTCTAACAAAGGAGTCATCTGCAATTTAGAAAAAGGGTGGGAGAACTTTGAGGGTAAAGGGAAGGAAAGCTTCAGTTTTTCCTCATTTGGAGGAAAAATATGATGCACATGCAGAGATTTCAAAAAAAAGTAAGATTACATGGGAAAGCTATGGATGAAGCTAAGCTATGAAGTTTGGCAAGACAAGAGTAATAGTACTGGTATTGTATTAGGTTTTATTAGCCTTATTCAGAAAACCCACCTGGGACAGCATGCATCACTGTTTTTAAGCCCATTATAATTCTTTGTTTGCTACCTATTTGATACAGAAATTATAAAGGAACCTATAAATACAGATTCCATCTAGTGTACAACATTCTGCTGTTTTGTACTGAAGCCGTTAGTTCCCAAAATCAGTTTTTCATAGAGAAAAAAGCGTTGAAGCAAACATGCATTTAAAAGCTGGCTTCATTTCCTTCTTGTTGTAAAGCCAGTGTTATAAAGGATTCAGAATATTCCCAGAACAACATCATACAAAATGCTAAAGCATGAGTTACCATAGATCTCCTTGGAAGACATTCCTGGTCAAAAAGCAGAAAGGAAAGGGGGAAAGGAGAGAAACATTAATAATTTGATAGTAATCCCAAAGTGTATCAAGAAGCTGCAGCACTGTAGAGGACAAAACTGAATCACTGGAGTTCAAGCCAAGCAAGCAACATTTTTGTACTAATTTTATTAGAATAATCTTTGACTTTTTCTTCCCCTCAAGTAGATTGATGCTTTATTTTCATGCTACAACACTAATTATACTACGTATTACCAGTTTCATACTGTACCATGAAGGCAGCATTCTGAACAGTTTGCAAAAACTGCCATGCCATTACAACTTGGATATTAACCATTTATGTTCTCTTCCCTCTTTAGAAGCTACCCTTATGGTGCTGCTTCAGTACTGCTGCTGAGCCAGCAGTATGTATAACTTTCCTATTATTTTAGGAAATAAGTGTGCTACAGAATTGCCATAATCAGATCCCAGTTATTAAATATCTTAAGTGACTGAAGAGGCAGTGACCCAAAACTGTCAAGCCATGGGATTGCAAGTTAATGCAAACATTCACAGGAGAATTGAGGAGTGTAGGTTTAATTAATACTCTTCAAAGGGAAAACAAGAAATTTGTTCAGATCTAAGCGACCTAACAGGAACCAAGGGCAGTCAGGAGACAGAAGGAGCAATGGGAACATCTAAGGCAGTGCATGCAGGTGGCAATGGCTGGTGATAGTACTGGTGAAACTTGGGAGAGTCTAGAAAAGACAACAGACAGGAATAAGAGGAATTGCTTCAAACGACAGCAGCTTATTTGTGATACCTAACTGAAATAGATACAGGAAAGGCCTGATTAACCTCTTTATTATGTCTGTGCATGCATTTTGTACATTGAGAAGTACAGCTGAGTTTTAACACTAACGGGGAGACTTTACGTGTAACTGTAATAAAATAGTATTATTGAAAACAAGCAGTATGTGCACTGGAGCAATAAAACTAGCACAGACTACACATTAGGTGTTGTCTTAATATAATGGGCAGGAACAATATTCTTCTGAATCTGTGTAACTTTTAGTAATTTTGAGTTATGAGATGGAGAGTTAGAATCCCTTTTGTATTTTTCTAATTGGTGTCACTGCAGGTTGAGAGCTCATTCTGCTGCATTTCTGGTGGTCATCTGCAATATAGCAAGAGCAGGTTGCATAGGACTTCATTATTCATTGAAGGCTGAGCTGGGTTTAAAGAGGGAAACATTCTTGTTCCACCCTTATAAAAAATAAAAAATGAATCTTTCTTTTTAACACTTGGATTGTGTCATTACCCACAGGCCTGACCAAAGCTCAACATGTGTGTTGAGTGCTGTACTCATGCTGGGAAACTCACATAACATCAGATTTGGATTCATAATCCACTGCAGATGTTACCTTTCTTTGTTAAGTAGGTCATGCTGTTTGCAACAGCAGCTGTCTTATCTTTGGAGTCCAATGTGGTAAATCGAGCAAAGTCATCTACGTAAAAGTTATCTGAGGAAGAGAAAAAGTATTAGATGCCAAAGCAACTATTCCCTGTAAAATGAAAGAAAAATCGCTACTATTACCAGAACATTAAGAACACATCCCATTTTGTCTGATTTCCACTGTTAAGCTGAAGAATATATTTTGTTGTCTCATAGGTTCCTTTTTTGTCTCCTAAGTTACGTTAATAACTACATTGCGTATTTGCTATGCAGAAGTCAATTGAAGGAATTGTTCAAGTCTCACTTAGTTGAAGTTAATTTATGTAACTAATATACATTTAAACTCCACTGTGTTACTGTTTTTCAAGCAGCTCGAAGTAGTTCTAGAAGTAGTTTCGCAATGCTGTCAGTATTCTGCAGAGTCAGTGTATCGGGTGCTAATACATTTAGCCATGACAAGTTCTGCTAGATCTTAAGTAATTGCAAAGATGACTGTCAATCTCTGCTCAAAAGAAGGTTAGAAATAAGAACCAAGCTGTTGCTTTATACATCATATGACTGTTCTTGGCTTTTACTAGCATTGCTAATTTTTCAGCCTCATGAGTCATATTCCCCTAAAGGTTTATATAAAATCAAAACAAGTTCCTGTTTCGAAAAATCTGTAGATACTAATGTTGCTGTTGTACAGAACATCTCGCCTTGCACCAGGGCTAGAACATCACTTGGGGTACTGCTAATACTTTGCCACTAGAGCTTTCCATTGGGACAGCAAAAGTATTTGAATCGGATACATCAGGTTTAATGCAATTAAAAGCATCCCTTACTCATTCCTGTCAGATCTAGGTACTCTCTGTCAGACATTAAGATTCTTGAGTTAATTCTTGGAACAACATTAGGCTGGTTCATGATGTACTCAACCACATCTTGGTCATTAGATAATTCACCCTGAAAGAAAGAAGAAAAAAAGCAACATTAGTTATTTCACATGTTTATTTGCCTTAGATAACTTAAAACACATACACACACCCCAAACAAAAACAAACAAGAAAACCCACATCCACCTAAACCAAGAACTGATGCAAGTTAAGTTGTCTTGTGTATTAACGTATTCAGGGTCTTTTGAGTCAGTTTTTCCCAATCTTGTTTCTCTCTAAAGTCAGAGCTGAACTTGGCACCTACCAGGTATACTGCTCGCTGGAAGATGCTTGTTGTTTCCAGGATTTTGTGCATTGTCACAGTTTCCAGGTCATCAGGATCTAACTGATCTTTTTGAAAAGGCATTCCATTGAACAGCACAACAGGGAGAGGACCTACACCCGTTTGCTCATAGTAACCTCTTGCTGCCTAAATACAGGGAAAGAAGTAGTTTTACCACATCAGCCCATTACCACGAGGGTTCAAAACACCTGCATGCAGTATCCACGAGTCTATGCTAAAGACACTAAGATGTCCTTCTAGCCTTCATATCATATTTAGAATACTAATTATATGCAGTGTACAAGACATTATATGTACAAGATGGTCTTGTCTTTCAGAGTTTCAAAGGACAAAAAGTAACTTCATAATACAGAAGTGCAAACTATTCCATAAGCTCATACTGCCAAACAAATGAATTCCAATGAGCACTTTCTTGTAGCAACAAAAAATGCACAACAGGAAATCTAACTTTGCATATGGTAGCAAATGCAGTGCAAGCAACAACAGCTGTAATGTAAGTAATGTGAGACAGGGTGGAAGGTTTTTATTTTCATTTTTTAAGAACATGTTTCTACTTGGTTCTCTACTGTACATACAGATTTTAAAAAAATATGTATTACAATATATTATATAAAGCTTTGTGCTGAACAGAAACACTTACTGAAGCATTACTAAAAGTCACCCAATATAACAACAGAACAGGTACCTGGCTGGTAAGAGAACTGGATCAAGAAATTGTACGTAAGTATATTTCTACAACAGTGTTGAAGCAAAAAAAGTGAAAAACCCTCCAATTTCTGAATTCTTACCTTTCTGTTTTGATCATAGGCAGAATCAATTCCCAGAATGCTGTTGATTTCCACATAAGGATACTGTTTCTCAAGAACACTAACCACATGCTCCACTTTCAGCTGATCTCCTGTTTTTACTTTGTTATATATCTGAAAGGGGGATAAAAATACAAGTGTACAGCTGCAACTGTAAAGCTTCTGTCCTTAGCAAAGGTAAGCTGATCTGTATTCCAGTAATTATAAGAAGGCATTAAGAGCCAGATTACAAAACATGTATTCATGTTTATTAGCTGCAATAACAGCTCCTAAACACTTGTAGTGCTTCTAATTATCTTGCTTTACCTTGTTCTGGTGAGATTGGAAGGAAATATAATGTATTTTTTAAAGTAATAACTTGCATCTTTAATTAGAAAAGTCATCTGAGGGGAAAAAGTAGGGCTTAGGGGAAAATAAAGACTCAAGTAAAGCATATCCAAAGACCTACCCTCCCCTTCAGAACTCAAGATGTGCTTTTAAACAATATAACAGACCTCACATGTAAAGTAGGTAACTGGTTCCCTCTTGAAGGCACAAGATTTTACTTTGACTTACAAATACATACCAAATAAAAAGAGAATAAAAATAATTTTCCTGAGGTCACCATCAGTTTAAAGTGCAGGATGCCCCAGATTGCTGATTTGTACAACAATGTCAAACCACAAGTGAAAATGCATTTACTTAGCACCTAGATTATGCTTTGACGTGGCAAAAGTATGCAGCCCGAACTGTTCAAAACTAATTATAATATTGAAGGGATAGAGCAGTTTAGAATTCACTGGCAGAATGAGCAAAGAGACAGGATCAGAAAAGTGTGTGTAAGTGTCAAGTGTCACATTATATCTAGTCTTGCTTGTTAAAGTTAGGTCAGAACCAGCATGTGTTGTGTGGTACTAGTGTTGAGAGATCCTCTGAATACTAACAGTCAAAATTTCTTCCCTCATCTACATATTGGCACATTAACATAGTCTTACATACATGGAAAATGTTAACACGTTAATTTTAAATGAATACTTACAGACATGACAGTTTGGAAAGCATAATTATTGTCCATTTCTTGTGCCACATAATTGTATGTCCTAAGCAGGGCAACACCAGGATCCTGAAGTCCATCAACATCCTCTGAGTCATTAACCACAAAGACTAGTCCTATCCTGCAGTCAAACAAATCCCCAGATCATTATTCTAATAAATAATCAACTCTGCATACAACTGTCAGCTACGATCTTAGACAAAGAATTTTTCTGGAACAGACTGATAAGATTTCAAGCATAGCAGCCAGGAATCAAACTTGAAGACATACTGTCTCTAACAGTGAGTCCCATCAGAGTTTTGCTTTTAATTTCTCTTCATTTAACATACTCGCTTTAAGTTTCTTTTGGACTGTTAAAGAAACTGAACTCAGTTTTGCTAGCAGCAAAAGTTGTATTAAAAAAAGATTTAAATAAAAAATAATACTTAATAAATGCCCTCCCCAACCATCAATACAAAACATGAAACATTTTTACAGTGTTCTAGCAATGAGAATTTTACAATTGCAAAAGTCAGAAAAATAAAACTCATGTAAAAAAAAACCATGTTAAAACACAGTAATTACCTCAGTGGGATGTGGTTACTGAAGAACATCTCTGCCACATTCAGTAGCTCTGCAGTAGTCTCGTGAACAGGATCTACTATCAGCACCTGCGTACAAATTGCAAGTGGCAAGTTTCTGTTCCCTTAAGAAGCTTTTGATTAGAGGTAGCTGCATTCACGTCTCAGTGCAGAATTATTATCAGTCCTACTTTATGCGCTCCAGGGAGATGAGGCCCACTAAGAAAGAGTTTCTTCTAAAGTCTTTAAGTGCATTACCTAAAATACCCAGTCTGAATCACTCCTTTAACCAGAGGAGACCAGACTCTACGTACTTTGTATCTTTAACTCAAGTATACGCTAGCATCTAGGCTTCTGCCTCTGTGAGTATACAAATCCACCCATTAAGATGTGCATAGGAGATAATCCATTGGAGTTGAGGAGCACAGCACTGCTCTGCTCAGCTCCCTGGAGAACTGATGCTGCTGCTAAGACATTCTCAAAGCAAGCCCAAACCCACGCAGGATCAGGCCATTCAGAACAAATTTAGGGCCCTTTATTCATGCCAAGTGTTGTCTTTTCACTTAATAATTTCAATGTTAGAAGTACTGAACTCCAGAGGAAAAGGTAACATGCCAATACTCCCAATTTGAGGTGGTTTAAGTCCCTGTTTGCCACTAATGAAAGGAGTCCTTTTTTCTATAGGGCTACTCTGCCACATGACATGAATTACAGTACAGATTTTACAGTCCTTACTAGATCTAACTTAAAGCAGTTTACCTGGACACTAAAAGGACACCCAGAATTAAGCTGAGGGCTGTTGACCATCTTTTAAAGTCTAAGCACAAGAATGCTTTCAAACTGAAGTACTTGAAGTTGGTTTTAACTCTGTTTGGAAGCTGCTAATTAACAAATTCGAGGATTCAGGTATTACCACAAAGTTGAAATGCACTGAATTCTCACTCAGCAGATGATAGTTTTTCTTCCAATGATTAAGCAATTTTTGGCATCTAATATATGCCAGAGAATCATGCTCAGTGATCTCTGAACCTCAGACACAACTTACTAGTACAAGTAGAACAAAACCTTTTAGAAAAACAACCTATCTCAAGATACTTAAGTGACAGGGAGTCCAGCATATATGTAGTAGGTAAGTTGCAAAAGCTAATGTCCCTGCTGTTGATAAAGCAATGCATATTTCATTTCTAGTGACGTTACCACTTACAAAATTATGGAAGTTTTTTCTGATTTGTCTGATCACGCCTGGAAACGTGGGACGCAGCAGTTCCTGCACGTTGGAAGGCCAGGAATTATACCGACTGTCAACTTCTAGATTGTTGATCCACTAAGAAAAAATAAAGGCATTTAAATGAGTGACAGTCCTCCTGCTGAGATATATATATATATGTGCTGAAAATATCCTGCTGATATTTTCAGATCAGACGCTATATTGAGATCTGTATGAATATAAAGTTAAGCTTTTTAAAAAGAGCTAATTATATTCTTTTTTCTTCACTGCTGTTTCAGAGCCAATTGTGAAATAAGAAGAAACGTTCCCATGAACAACCCAACAACAAATAAAATCTCTCTTGTGTAAAGCCATACGCACTGAAATAGCCGAGCTTCTGATGTCCACAGCATAGTCGGAATCTGATGGCTGGATGTTCAACTTCAGAACATTGTGCAAGGAAAGCCCTTCAATTCCTAAGCTGTGCAGGCCTTCCATAACGCGGGCTTCATTGCGCAGCACGTCAATCAAGCTGGAAGGAAGAGAGAAATCATTGATGAATTTTAAAGACAAGGTAAATAACTTGCTCTTATCCAAAAGTTAACCACTGAAAGGTATAAACAAGTCTGCCATGTCTGTGCATTACTTCTTATTTATCCCTATTTCTAACTGTTCTAAGAAGCTTGAACTTAAACCTATTCAATTACACTGTAGTTCTAGGAAAAATACATTAAATAGGATAATTAAAGCATGATATACAGATGTGATTTTAATTCCACATTATTGGAACAAATTTTAACAAAGAGGGTGGTTTTCAGATGAAGAATTTACAGTGGTTTATCCTTCGAGAATCAGTCTGCCATCTTCAGAATAAAACCTGTGTGTTGACTGTCTTTGGAGACCAGATTCTTGCTATTCACAGCCAGATAAAAAGAACAGTACGAAGGTGACTTCCCATTCCAATCAAGGGTATTCCACTTTTCACATCAGCTTTTCTGTTAGAAATGCACTTGCGTAAGAGAAAGAACCATGATTTGCTTTTTCCAGTACTTAACAGTTAAACCTAATCTAGATACAGACTTTGTGAAGAGGGTTTGAAACTCTCTAGATGACTTTATCATCCATGCACAAGCAGGATGCAAGCTGCTAAATAGGATAAAATTACTCTGAAAAATAAACCATTCCTACCTAAATATGTCCTGAGTGTCTAAATCAATAAGTAGTCCATTGATGAACAGGGCAGAATCTCCCGGTTGCAATCCTAACGTTCCTTTGAAATACTGAAAGAAAGTAGACAACCATTAAAAGAATGCCCTGCACAGAAAAATAATTACTAGAGCATTTAATGTGTCGAATTGTGGATTTTATCTCCCTGATAGCATTACAAATTGCATTTCATTGCTTCTCAACTGCAGTCTTTCCTGACTTTGTGCACACATTTGTACCAGAGGGAAAAACAACTGAAGCTATTTAGTGCATAGATACATAAATCGGTTGTTTCTTTCTACATGATTCAGCAGTGCACTGGGAAGTCCCTGAGTTAACTTTTTAAATATACTCAGATTAAATAATTAAAAATACTTGAGAGAAGTAATTTATCTTTTTTTTTTAGCTGGCAGCCTACAGCATAGGTGGACAAATAGCATCCAGTTACCTGTCTTAACTCTTTAACACACAGTTTTGGGCAGAACAGACTTAAATTGCTGGATATTGGATGGTGCTCTTTAGTGGAACTACTGTGTTTAAGTTACTGGTTAAGTCCTGATCTAGTGGATATGCCATCAAGTACATGAGCTGCCACTGTAGTCTGATCTTCTCAAAACCAGGCAGTACACCAATGGAAAAAGCCTTACCAATATTTTGGAGCTTCCTTCAAATAGCTCTAAGCAGTACCCCATTTAAATGGGTACTTGCCCCTGAACCAAGGCACAACCACAGAGACCTTTTCTGAACTGGGAGAGGTGAATAAAACACAGTCCTCCTGACCCAACTCTAGCATGTTTAAAAACTGAAATGTGGCATTGCTTTCTTAATACCTCTTGTCTTGCAGTACCAGTTACAAAATTCTATTAAGAGGCATTATGAACACTGGAAGAGAAACATAGTATTTGTACACTGAAAACCACTAATATCATAAAGAATGCAAGCAAAGCAAACAGAGGAATAGCAAAGTACCATGTGAAGTACCAAGAACAGGAAAGCAGCATCTAATTGGGAAGAATTTATGCATTTTATTAAATAAAAAGACTCCCAGAGAAGAGCTGTGTACATGCAGCATAAAATTGTATCTTTTTGTGGATAATTCTACAGTAAACTATAACTTACTAATAGTAGTGAACTCCACTATCAAGTCATATCCACACAAACTGAGTCATGCAAGGAATACCTTTAAAGGGCAGGGTTAGATCTAGCCAGATCTGGATCTAAACTCTGAGTAAAAATGAATCCACAAAATCATGGATTTACCTGTGGACCAGTCTGATCTAAAATGTAACAGAAAAGCCACCAGGTAGCTTTAGTTTGCACTTACATTCTATACCTTGTCCCTTCCAGGACCCCACCGGACGACAGTGTCAAACCGCATCCCTTCTTTTCTGATTTTATCGCTATTGAACAACAAGGGATTTCTCTTTCAGAACAGGAATCTCCGGGGACTTGTAAGTATATGTCAGGTAACTTTGCATTTACTACTAGACTAGTCAAATATCATTTATTAGTTGTTAAACAAAGACATGTGTGTACTTAACATACTTCGTATTTTTCCTATTAATACCAAGTGAGACTGAAATGTACGAATAGATTGGCATAGGTCATACAGTAAAAGCTGTTGTTTGGCTTTGTTTTCATTACCATTTTAAACTCATTTTGCACTCTATCCAGACTGCACTACCAGGGGTATTTTAACTGTACAAAATGCTGTACAAAAGCCTGTAGAAAATTCCCAACTGGTTACTTTTTTTGCGCCAGTGCTTTGCTAATGCCAAGTACCCAACAGAGCTGTTGAAACATTTTTCTGCAACATCAGAGCCTACTCATTGACCTCAAGGTCCTTCACAAGCCCAGGGTTTTTGTGTTCCTGTTTCAAAGCACATGTAGGCTTATTTGGATAGCTGTTAGATTTTATTCTTTTACTAGTTTCACTCTCAAAGCACCAACATTGGAGCCATTTCCTCCACAAAATATAAATCATTCTAAGCTGTGGCATAAGGTTTCAAGTTTATTCTGTGACTGACTTGCAAACATGAGTGAATTCAGGTATCTAAGTACCATCTCAAATTGGGCAATGAGAACTACGTTTTTTCTGCATCCTCAGAACTGTAAGAAGATGCTTAATATATCTGCTTTTTAAGCAATAGCTTTCTGACAAGCTACATTCCATCTAGCTCAGCCATTTTAAAATAATCTAAAAATATAATTACATTTTGGCTCTAACAACTTCCATTAAAAAGCACTCACATTTCTAATATCTAGGTGCTTTGAAGAAGTCCAGAATACAGTCAAAACCTAAAATAAGTAACTTGAAACGAGCCTCTTCTTAACTATTACCCAGGAAAAGCAGTGCTGTTGCATTCAGACTTTACACATCTGCTCTAACACTCAAATTAGGTTAGAGACTGAAAGAAGGCCACCCAACAGGCGCAGTCCTACAAGAAACATACTGTCTCTGTATAACTTTAGCTGGCAAGTCATCACTACAAACGTGTAACTCAGAAACTAAGTAAAGACTGATGTGACACATCAGAATTTCTACTGCTTCACTTTTGACCCTGTCCTGTCCTGTAGATCACATTAAGACAGTCCGCATGGAAATCCTAAGAACATTTGCAAGTGTCTGTTTTCTTTTTCGCCCAGGGTTAACAACATAGTACTTTGATTGTACTGAAGGTTAATTTTATAAAGGTAAATAAATGCAGTCACCAGATTCTGAGTTCAGATACAGAACAGAAGGTCACTTTCATGTACATGAACAAGCGCTTGCCAAATAACTGTCAGAACACTTGGCTACTGTGAACAACCATTGCAGGGGCCGCTCTGTGAACAAAACCCTGTATCATTGTTCCCCAACACAGGGGTCTCACTCAAAGAATTTATGACCAATATATTCATATTTGAGCATACAAGCCAAAATATGTTCCTAATCCGTGTTTAAAATCCACCACTTTTTTACTTCCCAGATGCACACCATGACAAAGTTGTGTGTGAAAATACCAGGTAATTTTTTCAAGGAAAATGTAAACTTTTAAATAGAATCAGTATTTTCAAAGCTTGAATTTTTACTAGAACGTAAGTGCAAAAGCACTGTGTTACTTTCTGGAAGCATTACCTTTTGGTTCTCTTCAATTTCTGCTCTGAGTTCCGAAGAAACAACTGTTTTCGTTATGGCTCTACATAAATAAAAACATCACGTTGTGAATCACCTAATGGATAGATAAGATACCTACTTATTCTGCTTTTTGTATCTCATCTATAAGTATATTTAGTCTCTTAGTATAAAAAGCTGCATTCACTTGCACTTTGTGGTACCGTTAAACAGTAGGATACACTGTTTTTTCTTGCACTTTATAATTCAACAGAACATAAAAATGATAACCACATGCCAACTGCCAGTGTGTAATTTCACATTAACTATACTAAAAGTGCGTAGCTGCCAGAAAGGTAGAGGTGGAGGCTGGCAGCAGAAAATAGGGAGATTTCACTCCTCATGGTGGTTTCCCATTCCTTTCCTTACGTTGTTGTATCTGCTAATTGCATCATCACAGAATAGGCAAGTACAGCTCACAGATCTGACTAAAGACACAATGAGAGTGCAGTGTCGACTTTCAGAAGCTATAAATAGGACAATCTTAACATCAGCTAGTGGGAAATCAGAATTCAGCTTCTTTTTACTTTCAGGTGTATCTCCCCCTACTCAAAAAGGAGGAGCTCCTGTAATATCATCTTTACAGCCCAGGTCATGTCATTCATCAGAAGAAATACATTTCTAGAGTGGTTGGGCAGGGCAGATTATGACTGAATTTCTTGCAATTAATTTGAGTATGCTTAAGACATTGGCAGAGTGCAAAAAAGAGTGGAAATGCACATAAGTCTCTGACATGAGATTGACTGGCTGTTTGGCAAAGTAGACTCCAGAAGGAGACTAGGATCTAGTGAACAGATAAATCTTAAAGCCACCAAACAGAAAACCTATCCAAAAATTCCTGAGGACTTTATGCAAAAGGTTCAGAGGCATTTCACAAGAAAATAGCATGGCTGATTCTGTCAAATTTTCCACCAGTCCACATCAACTGCCATCCAAGAAAAACACTGCAAGAGATCCTCTTTGTAACCCTAGGCTGAAGAACTTCTCTGCATAAACATTCCCCAGTGTTTGCTTCCAGCCAAATGGAAACTTGGACATTAAGCCAATGCTGCCTGTGGCAGGAAAAAGATAGTAAGAAAACTTCCTAGAACTCATGAGTTACCTGGCCATAGTAGGAAAGTTCTGACTGAGATCTTTCATGACCATCAAAGCATCCACAGGGGGAGCAGTCAAAATGCGAGCAGCACTTTGAAAACTTAAATCTAGAAGTGAAAAAAACGCAGAAGTTGAGAACTGTGAACTGAAAACAAGCCAATATAGAGTCATCTTAACTTTAGCTTTCAACTGTTCTGCTTATGTGTTACCTATGAAAATTTGCTTTCTATCTGCTTCTTTAGATGCTTTGAAAAACAAATCTTCTTCCTTATACTCAACTTATATTTGTTGCCTTGAAGTAAGTAACCCATTCAAATGAATCCTGTCTACAGGTTGCTGCAGTGAGTCCAGATCCCCACCTTTTTGTTTTGGCTGAGGTGGGAGGATCTGTCCTTCAGAAGGGGGCTGTGTACTTGTTTCACAAGCTAGAAATACAAACAGCCATCTGTTGGATATAGGTAGATTCTCTGTGACTGAACATGTATGTTCAGCATTTCCAATTACTCTTTTTTTCCAGAGGACAAAAAGTCTTTCCACAGGCCTCTACAGATGATTTCCAGGGAAACAGGCCAGAGTTGCTTGCAGATGCTTTTAAATACCATTTGCTTTGGTGTTGAGAAATCTCAGCTTTCCATGCCAATAATGGGACCATGGAAAGAAACTTTACATTTCCTTTACTTTTCTGCATTTAGCAGATCATATAAATAGTCAGTTTAAGAGCCGGTGGCTTACTGTACTTCACAATACAGAAAGCAAATCTCATTTCAGAAGTCCTGTGAAACAATCTTTCTAAAAGCTATTTCAACAGGACACTACAAAGGTGCTTTTGAAAATCCAGAATTTTCCAGTGCTGGAGTTTACAGTCAAGCTCTCTCAACTGTACCCAGCCACTAGCAACCTCATCTGTGGAGAACACAAGAAGGTATGTTCAGTACAATACTGAAATCTTCATACAGATTACCTTGTAGTTGCCATACTTTCAGAGGTGCCATTTCATTGGTGCTTTCCACGAGGTGTTTTCTAAGCTCTTTCAGCTCTTCTGCCAAGTCAGGATACAACTGCCTAAAAGGGTATGAGGGTAAAACAATTTCTGGGGCTTCCTAAAAGCAAGTCCTCTGCTAATTCAAAGAAACTAATATGTAGAAAAGTATGGTGCTTATATATATATATATATATGAATAACTCAGACATTTAGAAAATAATAATAAAGCAAAACATCAGCATCTCTGCATTTTTTCTGATCTGACAGAGGCCAACAGCTTAGAAGTTTTACCTTAGTTTTCCAAACAGAAATCCTTGAACTTCATCAACAGGGTCATTTTCATCTATTACTGTAGCATTCACATCTGTGCCTATAAACACAAAAGAGAACATGAATGTTACCAAGCTATTCAGAAAGAGTTCTCACACTCAGTTTAACAAAACTACACTGCAGTAACCAAAAAGAAGGAAAGGACAAGTTTCAGGTTTAACTTTTAAACCTTTATTGAAGAGACATTGCCTTTACAAATGAACATAGTAACAGCTGAAATAAATCAAAGTTGGATTATTGAGATGGAAAAGCTTAAGATAAGTGGATATTCCAGAGAGCTGGGCATTTCAGAGAAATTTACTAGGACCTAGGAGCTTTCAGGACATGCCAGCTTTGTAGAGTAAGTGCTAAACTTCAATTGTGACCACAGCCCTGATTTTAGCTCCAAAATACATGATAAAATAATGGCATCTGAGTGAAGTCCAATTCTGGGCTTAAACATCAAAAAGAAATCTGTGCAAAAGACTCACACAGTCTTCTAATCTGCTGGACAGAAGCCAACTGCAGTCTAGATGTTTGATTCTAAAGTCTACTAAAGATCCTGACCTTTTGATGAGTGTTTGCTTCTGGACAAGCCAAAACATTCACGAAAAAAAGACTGCACAGTCAGAATGTTCACAGAATCAGACAGGAGCTGGATGAGAGCCTATCCTTGTTCCAGCTGGGATAGAGTTAATTTTCTTTCTCGTACCTAGTACAGTGCTGTGTTTTGGATTTAGTAAAAGAATAATGCTGATAAAACACTGATGGTTTAGTTGTTAAGTAGTGTTTTTCCTGGGGTTGGGGTTTATTCCTTCCCCTCCTCATTATTATTGTATTTTACTTTTATTTCAATTATTAAACTGTTCTCATTTCAACCCACAGGTTTTTAACTTCTTTTTAAATTCAGGTAAACAGTTATTAATGTAAAAAACATAAAATTATCTTTCAAAAATTAAGACGTTCACATTAAAATACTTAAAATAATAATTCACCTTTCACCTGTGTATCATCCTTGGCCTTATATTCTGTACTTTTAATAGCCAGTTCCACACCATAGCCAGAGAGGTAGACTTTTTCTTTACTGGGGTTCTGTAAGGAAAAGCAAACAGTACAGTATTGCCACTCTGGTTTGATGTACAAATGAAAAGCTGTAGTTTCCCAAAGCTGAGAAAGCTCTAGCTGGTATACTGCAGACATAACTGGTAAGGCAGAAGTCAGAAAAACAAAATGAATGAATCTGCAGTAATACACTGTAATATTATATTTCCTGTTGTATTTCAATAAAACTTTTTTTAATTTCAGTGAGCAAAGATACCTTGTGGATCAGAAAACCACAAAGTAAAGAGGAACACAAAACGATGTTTTCAGGATTCAGCATAAGCCAAATAGGACAGGACAGACTCACATCATCAAATCAGGTAAGAGGAGGGAAAGGAACTTCAGCTGTGAAGTTCAAAAATTACACATTCATTAAAAAAAAGTAATAAATCCATGACTCAACAGAGATGTATAATCAGTTCTGATTTTAATGGGAAACAAACTTGATGACTTCTTAAAAGCATTCTGAAGTATACAGGAGTCACACAACTGTATAAATACCTGTTGTGCAGTACACTTAATTTTGAATGTAAGTACTCCATCCAACACTGGTAAATAACTTTTTAAGAGGAAAGTGGCAAATGCAGTGTATGACTTTAATAAAAGTGCAAATATCATTAAAAGTGAATCAGCTGATGCTTTTTTTGCACTGAAGTCTGGCTGCTAACTACCTGCTATACTGCAGGTTTTAGCAGTATTAAACAGTATGCAGGAAAAAAGTCAAATATCTTAGATTTCTCAGAGCTTTTGAAATGTAGTTTTAAACTTATCCAGTGGTGATGGGCAATTTAGGGGAGGGAGATGGAAACCAGGACAAATTACATTAGGACTTGTAAGCAGTTCTGGAATAAAACTGCTATGGAAACAATGCCTTTCATTTGAAAGTGGTACCTTAAGGTTAATCTTTGCTTTTCATATCAAATAACTTAAGTGGCCTGCCTGTGGAAAGATGTGACTGTCTCCTGTAATCTAATGTAGGTGGAGCAACGGTTTTTTAGACTAAAGCCTGTAATTAATCTGGAGTTTAACTCTGCATTTGTAAAATCAAAGGATCCTCTTATTTAAACAAGCAGGAGATTTAAAATATTATGTATTCCTCAGCTATATGCAATAGAAAACAAACTTTGAGTCTTGCAAATAAATATCAAGCAACAACACATGATGCAAATGTCAATTTAAAGGGAACGGACTTGGCCAGTTCTCTTTCTTGAAAACCCAGGCCAGTGGCTCTTTCCATGTCAAACACCTCTGTTACAAGGCAAAAAATATACTTACGGCAATATAGTGTCTGAGGACATAAGTGATTTCTCCTGCCTCAGCCTTTAAAACAAGCCTCCTGTGGTTTCTGTAGAACTCCTCTGAGCCAATCTCAGCATAAAGTATGACGACAGGACTTTCAGGGTTTGACACTGGGTACTTGTGATCCCCTTTGAACAAAAATGGCTTTGGCCTAAGAGTAAACATTGAAGATTAGCACACTGTGATTCACAGCCTTTCTTCACTCAGTGCAAGATGCAAAATCTCTTTTTCTCAGGTTGAATCGCTGTTCCTGTCTTCACTGAATACGTATGTCAAGCTACTTGCACAGATTATCAAGGTTGGAAGCACTTGATGCATGTTGATAAAGTTGTTTAAAAATGGACATACGAAAACGAAGCAAGTAGCAAGGTGCTGTTTTGAATCTAACATCATCCTTATTTTAAAAACTAACCACTTCCCTTAAACTTCCAATTAACAACTTCCCCCCCCGGTGGTGAATCATAAATTCTGCATAAAAAAAATAAAAGGCTAACAGAGCAAATGTTCCAGGAACTCAAATTTGAGCAACAGCCCTGTCCTTGGCTTAGCATACAAACAAAAACTGAATGAGAAGACTACTTTCAACTTCTGTATTTCAGTATTTTGTCTAATATAAAATGAAATATTTAAAATACTCCCAAGTGAGTCAAAAGAATAGCATGTGAGCTATAGATGTCTGCACATTGACCAAAAACCCCTTATGCTTATAAAAACCAAAACTACCAAGATTACTGTGAAGACAAACTGAAATTTAAGGTTTAAATTAAGGGCTTTGTTCTGTTTGGTTTTGGTTTTTTTTTTTCCTAAAGAGGTTATTACATTTTATAGTTTCTTTTTGTTACTAAAAGTTACAGTGAAGTTCTTTTCTTCTCTAAAGTAATGTGAATTTGAAATACATTGTGGGTAATAGTTTTCTTTGTTAATGCTGAGAAAATTATAGAGAGAAAAATACTGTGCGTGCTTCAAGCCATTCATGAATCGATCTCCGTATCATTCTAGTATGCAGCCCAGCTCTTTCTGTTCACGCAACATACTAAAGGTTATATATATCTTCCTGAGAATTCCTACTGTACTTCAACAAATTGTTTCCAGCTTTTCCTGTGCACATTCCTCCTCCTAGCATAGTATGAAAGAGCAAGTGATATGAAAACAATCATTCCAATCTGGATTAATAAGAAATAAGAGACTGCCACTTCTGTGCAAGCAGTGGACAGTATAAATCAACACTGAAGAATGTGGAAACAACTGGTTTATTACAATCTCTTTATAGCAGTAAGTCTATCTAGGTTAAATTTTAAGTGCTAATCCAATGTTGGGAAATAAAGCAAATACCTTTCTGAAGCTCCCTGTAAAAGGTTTCCAAGAGACTCAAATTCACATGTCTTATCCCCATGCACAGCAAAAAACAGGGTGCAGGCCTTTGGTGGAGGTTCATCTGCTGCTATCTGTGTTAAAATATTTGTGATAGAGTAGGTTGAATGTTTGTCTTTAGAACAAGTGAAAATGAAAACAGAATAGCTCTCTGTAGCAGTTGATTTTCTTTGATTTCCTAAATCCTAAACTAGTACGTGTTTGTTCTTTATTACATCATTTAAATGCAAGGTAGAAATTGCAAATTGAGAGTTAAGTCTTAACTTATTATAAATATTTCTCCAGACTATTAACTGTAATATTATTTCTAGGTAGAAAAAGCAAGGCTTGCAATTGTAGGGTTTTTGATTGAGGTCTGTTTTGCATTACATATCAGAAACCTCTATGTTTGTTAAACACCAAATGACAAAATTATTCCAGATGAAAAAGGAAGAGGTCTTCTAGTATTACTTAAGTAAAGCACATTATAATGTGACATAGTTTACAATGACTTTGAAAAAGAATAGAGTACAACTTACATTTATGGGTTGTAAACATTAGAGCTATACATTGGTGCGTTACAATCTTCAAGTAAGTACAACTGAGTAACAGGAAAAGCAGCAGCAGCATCACAAGTTTCAACAAAGCCATAGAGATTTTCCTCCTACAAATCTTCACACAATTATTAGTGCAGTGGGCATCAAAGATACGAAGACATGTTGAAATCCCAATTCTTTAGTCTGCTCTACACAGATGGACTCAAATTTGGCACTCACTGAAATGAGTAGATACATCTGCTCTCCAGCTCAGATGTATGGAGCAATTAAACAGTTTGGGATTTTTTTTACACTTTCAAGTATCTCCTTAGACAGCTTGCTCCTTCCTGGGCCATAGGTAATGCTTTACAAATCATGTGAGGATTTCGGGTACTAACCTGTTGAAAAGCTTGAACGGTTGCAGAATAAGAGCGTAAAGCCAAGGAAAATTTCAACAAGTTCTGCTGCAAAGGTGACAGACTCTGGCAGGCTGCTTTCAGCATTTCATGGTAAGAAGAATAATCACTGCCTACAAAGTCAGAATACAAGCAGTTTTCTTTCCATACCATATTCTCATTGAAGAGGGGCTTTTCATCCTAATTGTGATTTATACTAACAGAAGCCCATAACATTAATTGTAAATACACACATGCCCATTCCTCCTCAGTTTTCATTACAGCCAGTTCTACAGAGGGATGAGAGTGAACTTCAGTTGAGATCTATGAGAGTACATTTAAATACATCGCAGAGGATGCAAACATAGGCTTGGGGAGGCAGGAAACAGTTAGGAGCTCCCATTTAATTTGAGAAATAGAAACACACAGAAAAAGCATTTATAGCATTTTATACTTCGTGTCAAAATAGAAACTGGCAAGCAAAACATGTTTCAGACTCATCCACTATAGCTTTTGTCAAACAGGTATTCAAAAGCCTTGAGCACTTTGGACGCTTCGTAGAAGTATTACTGAAATCAGTCCTCATTTGACTTTTACAATATGAACACAATGGAAGACAAGACATTGTGGTTTATTTTTCAACCATGTTAACTATGCGTCATCGTCCAGAAGAAGATCATGAAAACTTACCATCATGTTCAGATATCTTAATATTTTGACTGGCTTCAACAAAATTCCAGAATTTTTCTTGACCTTCTTCTGATAAAAATTCACTGAGTAAGAAGAGTTGAGTTAGCTACATGTAGGACTTCACTCTCAAGTTAGAACTGTAATACTTTGTAAAGCTTTATAGAAAGTTAGCTTCTATGTTTACCTCTATCAGAAAACCATGTTAGTAGAAAAAGCAGATTAGTACATGAAAGAAGCTTGTAAGGCACCTATTAATCGCTCAAAGACCACTAACAGATAGCAGTGTACATCCTGGGAGCACTCCCCCCAACGCTGTCTCTTATGACAAACATACATTTTTGTGTACTTTGCTGTAACAAACTGTAGTTTGTTGGAACTACTAGACTTGGTGGGTTGGTTTGCTTTTAAATTAGCAAAAGGAGAAGTCACAGCTTCAAATCATGATGTTGTAATTCCCCGTATATTAAGTATATGATGAGGTAGGCATACAACATTAGGTAGTAAAATAATTCTCTGAACGTTGCTAAGAACAAATACTTTATCCTGCCTAAACTTGTAACATGCTTTATATGCTAATGGATGCTACAACAAAAGATTTAGAGCCCACTGGCTGCCACAACAGCTTTTTTGTTCATTTCAATCTGTTCTGACCTGAGGTGGTAAATACTTCTTGAACAACTGGGTGAAGAATTGCAGTGCTGGGGCAAGTAAATTGAACAGCGGGAATGATTTTACACTGCAGTGCTGTATCATTCTGCAGTTCCTCCCAGATGAACAATCCTACCTACCCAGAGTCTTTCAATCTAATCGTTAGGTTATATATCAAGCCTTCGGCACATGATTTTTATTATTTGCTTGCTATTTCAGTCTTTTACCCAAAAATGTCTTGCATCGATGAGGTATTTAAATCCTAGCATTTTACTGCTTAAGGATTTCTCAGTCCTCAAAGTTCAGCTTCTGTAGGAAGGTTGCAGAAAAGTAATTTCACCAGGGACACACCTCTCCTATCGCCCAAAGCCATTCCCATTTGAACAAAATGCATCAATGCTCAGCTGTTCTAATGTAAACCAATCTGTGATAACATAGCCAGAATTCATATGGCAACACCCTTAAGTGATACAAAATGAAACCCACGCACACTCTTACACAAAAATCTAAAAGTCCTGTTTTGCATAGACATCTCCAAATTGCAACACTTCAAAATGAAATGATGGGGACTTCTGAAGTGCTAAGTAGACTGGCAGTGAAAAGACAGCATTTTGCTCTCTGTCTTCTTAAAATGTCTTTTTAAACGTTTTGTTTTTAAATAGTGTCTTTAGAAAAAAAGAGGAAAAAAGTCATTAGTGCTATAGAAGAAATCTCCCCAGGCTGACTTGCTCAACTCTTAACAAAGCAGCTGACTTTACATAATCAATGCACAATTCCCCTGAATAAAGTTAAACTCAAGCTTAATGTCTGCAAGCAACAGCAGATACATATGAAAACCTACACTCATTATTGAAGTAAAGTCTGCTATTATGGAATCTTACAAGACCATGCTAAACCTTTCAGTCTAGTGCTTTGGGTAGGTAAAACTTTGTAAGGTAAAAAATACTGTAGAATTATTCATTGTTATTACTGTTTTCATGCACAGCAAAAGAATTTATCCAGCAAAAACTATGACTCTTAAAATATTCATCCCATCTCCCCAAGCACAGCAATGATCATGTTCAATCATGTTCAGCTGAGTGTTACTACTGCCAAAGAGTCAGTCATGACCAGAACCCAAAGCACACAAAACAAATGAAAAAGAGAACACGTTATTCTCTAAGCATATTGATTTGTCAACAAAAAAAAATCATAACACGCTTACCTTGCTTCAAGTAACAAAGGAGTTGAAGACCACTTTGTAGTTAGAGATGTTGTCACAGCCTTAGAATGCCCCCTTACAAGTGAAGAGCTGAACCAGATTCCAAGAACCGCAATAAGTATTCCCATTTTATAGAAGCAGCCTAAAACAAGATTAAGGAAAAAAGTTAGTTTTGCGTTGTCTCTTTTTATAAATACAGAATCTCACACACCTAAATGTATTAAGGGCTATTTTAAGAGTCAGGGGCCCATTTAATGCAATACATCAGTGAGATAGTCATAGTCTCTCCTGGGCATACAAAATCATAAATACTTTGAAAACATGACACAAGGATGTTAAGATCAGACTCCTGAGCTGCAGTTAAACCTAAATCAATTCCAGCTCACTCTGTGCTTTCAAATAAACTTGCTTCTGTTCTGGGACACGCACATCACATACTGCTTGCTCTACCGAGAGGTATTACAGATAGCACAAATTTCAAACTAGGTGGAAAACCAACCCCACTGCCTGTTTTATGGGAGGTCAAGTCCCGTGTTGTGCTTGGTGGTGTACTAACCAAGGTCAGAAGAGCCAGGCAAGGTGAGGGTTCCCTCGTCAGCCCTTCAGGTTCTGCGGGGTACAGTGGACTTCTCTGGGGAATGAAGGAACAAGCATTTCCTGGATGCACTAAGTACCACCAACCTTAGAAGCTGAAAAATGAAAGAAATAACGAAGACAGACTCAAGTGATACAACATCAAAAGAAATGAGCCAAAAAAAAAAGTGCCATTTCTTACTGTCCTCGTGTACTTTCACGATTACACATTCTCTGACCTATACACCACAATACAGCTGAGTGGAATTTCCTTGCCCTCTGCTCTTAAGCTTATGGGATACCTGAATTCTCCTATTAGCTTTCCATTACGTTCTCCAAAAGTTCAAGTTGTTTTCTCCCTTGACTGGAGTATATTTACTAAGCACCCAGTATACAGACAGGCACTCTCTTACTTTTTAATCCTTATTTTTCTGGATAATACATTTTCCATTCCCTCCTGCAACTTTAAAAACTGCCCACTCAAATTCCAGGGATATCACACCCGACAACCTGCCAGGATCTAACTTGTCTCTCTCTTTCTTGATGATTCGATACAAAAAATAGTCTTACGGGTTACATATCTGTAGCTGTGGCTCTACCTGTATGTACACATACAGATCAACAAAACCACCTCACCCTACTCCCTTTAAAAATTTATGCTACTCCAGCTAGAAGTTCACCAGCAATCACTCACCCACTGCTCTTTCTGTATCTCAGTGATCACAGAATCGTTAGGGTTGGAAGGGACCTTCGGAGATCATCCAGTCCAACCCCCCTGCCAAGGCAGGGTCACCAGAGCAGGTTACATGGGAACGTGCCCAGGAGGGTCTGAATGTCTCCAGACAATTCAAATTGTTCAGGTTGAATTCTCAGTGTCCCTTCTTTCAGAATAAAAACGGAAATGCCCTGCTCTAATATACGAAGAACAACTTGCTCAGCTGCACACGTTTGTTTTACGCCGCACCTGGGAAGCAGGCAGATGACACTGCATGACATGCACGGTTACACCTACCGCTCACTGTGTGCAGAGGAGGAAGCTCAGTCAGTATTTGTGCAGTGAAACCTCTGCTTCTGCCAAGCACAACAGAAAAAACAAGGTTTGCAGTTCCCCCCGGAATCATGTCTTTCATGGTTTGGGTTGGAAAGGACCTTAAAGCTCATCTAGTTCTAGCTCCCTGCCATTCCACCTTGCCTGGTGACTACATGCCCTTGTCAAAAGTCCCTCTCCAGGTCTCACTGCAAATCATACACAGCTGTTTGGAACATGTACATGAATATGCCATACTGCATTCTTACGACTAAAACTGCTGTGCTGCTCTCTCCTACCTGCTTTCCCATGCTGGGAAAGACTGAAATAAAAGCCTTTTATTATGTGAAATAGGTGACAAACGTGTCCTTTTTTCTTTTTTTTTTCCTAACACTAGTTTAGCCAACTGAAAAAAAAAAAAGCAGATTAGAAATATCTGCACTCCCTGAACAATAACAACCAAATACCAGTGTCTCCAAGAGAAATAAAAACACACCATGGAGAACAGAAGAGACAAGAGGCACAGGAAAAGAACCATAGAATCATCAGGTTGGAAAAAACTTTTAAGATCATTAAGTCCAACTGTTAATGAACATAAATGACAGGGGATCCAGCTCTGTTCTGTGTGAGGTAACAAAGCAGAACCCAGTCTGAATTAAGATGTTGTAAAGTGCGATTTTCAAAACTCGTTTGTAACTATTTTTCCTCCAGTTACTCAGTTTAAGACACAGCTGACTTCTGGGAACTTGCACATCCAGCCTTGGAGACGGGAATAAGTCATCCCACAGCCACAGGTCCTGCCAGACCGTGAGAGCACCAAGCTCTGCCATGTCCTGTGAAGTCTGTCTGGCAGCAAGCAGGTAAAGGGCTCCACTTTAGCAAAGGTCAAATAGAATCAGACCTACTGTTTAGACAGCAATGCCAACTCCAGCGTCAAGGCCACAACACTGAAGTAACGTGTCTCAGCCAGTCAGAATTGCTGGGAACACCTGGAGAGCTGCTGAAAGCACAGGTAGTGCGCTGCCATACTGTCAATTCTGTAACTGAACCGGTTAGTCCGAAATGGCATGCTTGAAGAACTTTGACTAGGAACAGACGGCTCCAGTGACCAGTCAGCAAACAGCTTGCTCTTATAAAACTCTGGCCGGCGCACAGCGCTCCGATGCAAAGCACGCCCCTGGAACAGCGGCAGCGCACCCAGCGCTGATGACCCGCACTCCCCCGGAGTAAATACACCAGTAAGTAGGAATTGGGGCGGCCGCTCGTTAGTGGCGAAAGGCCTTTAACCCCGAGCGCGGCCCCCGCAGCCCTCCTGTCACTCC